GTTCATGGATTACCACGAGATTTTCCTGGCACATCCGAATTTTGGAGAAATTTGGTTCCATTTGGAATTTGCCGCTTCTAAGACATGCATCTCAATGTTATGGTGCTTATGACTAGTACTTGCCTTCGTTCCACTTATGGTAAAAATTTCGAAGAAAAACATTAACGGGGTCAAAAATTATAGCTGACTTTGTATCAACCGGGGGCCGGAAAATGAAGGTTACCGGATTAAGTTTACACCCTTTACAACAACAACTACAACTACTTTGGTTTCATGAAGTTAAGTTCTAACTACATTTATACCCACATCCTAAAATCTAATTACTACTACACTAATTACTAATTACCTGATTACCTAATTACTTCACTTTTCAACTACTTTAAGACTACTTTCGTTAAACTAGTTCCTTATCGTGTTAAGTTGAATGTAAGATAAACTTTTACCTTCTTTTCTTAAAACCACGTTAAAATCGTTGAAATACAAAATTATCTACAAAAAATTTTTACTTTAGATTTATTTAAGCTATATTTTCAGGGTGTTTCATCTAAAAAACGTAATTACGCTAGGCACATAGTTGAGATTTTTGCTAGATTTGATATTCCATTTCATCCCTTTGTAAGAATATACAACACGCTCAATGATAATACATATTGCCTATATTAAGTGGAGGCGGGTTACCCAATTTTCCTATATATCTACTGTATGTAACAAAAGTATAACTACGATGACATATTTTTTATCTCGACATGATGCCGTAGTATTTCAACTTTGAAACTCCGTACAAAAATGTCAACACTATCTGCCGACAATTTCCTCGTCGCCGATTTTTAATGTCGCAGATAGGTCAAAGGTCAGGATTATTTTTCTAAAAAAATTTGAGGCGTCGAAAAAAAAACTTCGTGGATAATTTTTTTTGAACTTTGCAATATTTTTTTCTGGATGCGGCATGCGTTTTGAAGAATAATGAGCTTTGGTCGGACCGTGTACGATTTTTTTGGCGCCCACAGGAATTTTTCGTCCAAAACAGGTTGGAGCTCTAAAATCGCCGTTTTGGCGAAAATTAAAAAACTGAAATATGCGTTTGCATATCCGGACCCTCTATATGCAACATTAAAAATCGGCGACGAGGAAATTGTCGGCAATTTGTTTGACATTTTTGTAGGGAGTTTCAAACATAGATCGGAGTACTCCGGGCTTGGAGTACGTACTCCGGCCTCCGGAGGCCGGAGTACGCAGCTTTTTCTGGAGGCCGGAGTACGCGGAGGCCGGAGTACACGTGGCCAGCCGGAGGCCGGAGTACACGTGGCCAGCCGGAGGCCGGAGTACGCGGAGGCCGGAGTACGCATGGCCGGCCGGAAGCCGGAGTACGGAGGCCGGAGTACGCAAAATTTCCGATCGCATACATAGGGGAATTCCGGGCTTGGAGTACGTACTCTGGCCTCCGGAGGCCGGAGTACGCGACTTTTTCTGGAGGCCGGAGTACGCGGAGGCCGGAGTACGCGTGGCCAGCCGGAGGCCGGAGTACGCGGAGGCCGGAGTACGCATGGCCGGCCGGAGGCCGGAGTACGCAAAATATCCGATCTATGGTTTCAAAGTTGAAATATTACGGCATCATGTCGAGATAAAAAATATGTCATCGTAGCTATACTTTTGTTACATACTGTATTGCTACTAACTACAAATTATATGTAAATATCATTGTAAACATCTTTATTTTGGTGTGCACACTTACACTAAATGTACAGACCAGAGGTCGACGCCGCCGATCGTCGGTAGCATTTTATGCGCCGCCGCCGCCGAAAAATTTGATTTCCTATTCCTTTAACATTGCGTCGCTGCGCCGCCGACGCCGCCGAAAAGTCACCAGAAACTGGCGCCGCCGCCGTCGACCCATATTACCGACCAATATTAAAATATCGTACGCTATTAAATAAGTGTTGGTTTGTCTTCTGCAATACCGTTTTGACATTCGGAATAGACGGTGCCATGCCCTGAACAGATCTTAAATTCAGACAAGACTTTTAGATATAAATCCGACATGTCAAACTGGCCATAATTGCGAACATATTTTGCTTCCGTTCCAAGTAATTACATTGGATCAATGGAAATAATTGTCGAATTAAGAACCTACCTGGTTTACCTCAATGAATAACATATCAACCCATAACTGAGATTCAGCTCGGATTTTAATTTCACAGGAAGCCAGCTCGATTTTATTCGACATGGCAAATGCCAGATCTGATCGGCTTGTTTATGTAAATACTTGCGGACGTAATTGGTTAGTGTAGTATTTCCGTGTAAATGTGCCACATGCCGGTGTAATTAGATCGCGAATCTCATGTTGAATTGAGCAAAGCATCAAGGTGACTTATTAACACTCTAAGAAATAAGCGGAGTCATGAAACAAACATTTATGTATATTCCCGGCGGTAGTTCAATAATAAGTGTGCTATTTCGTCATGCCGTTTGCGTTTCTGCGTGCCTTTTTGATGCCTTTTTGCTAGACATTTCATATTTTTAAAATAGTTGAAAAATAGTGAAACTAAGGTTTACATTCGTTGGTTTAATGATAACAGTGTGTGCAAAAAGACAGCCTTTTTTCTATTCCATCATGCCCTTTTGCTTTTGTTCGTGCCCTTTTGCCAGCTTGATGCCTTTTTGCTTGATTTTTGAATTTCACACCTCAACTATTTCCAACACTGGAGATGCATGCATGGGGTTCTTCAAAAATACTGCCGCCACACATATGTATGCAGTTTTTGAGGGCTTTTCTCCATGTGTAATGAAAATTGGTCTTCGCACTTTGAGAAACTTTGAGAAATCTGAGTGCCAAAACTGTGAGTTTTACTTCGTTGCTTACTTTATGGATTGAGAAGTATGTAACTCACCAAGTTAAAACCTTACAAAATCTACAAACACGATCCCCATGGTAGTGTTGGGACGACATGTGATTTCTAAGAGTGTTCTATACTCATTAACGACCTGTCCTAATTTTTTATATTCGAAATAATATAAAGCATTCAAATTTCTCCCTTCCTGCCCAGTACCAAGAACTCCTTGCGTGCTGTATGTATTCGAACAAAACCTAGTCCCACTAATTATCAACGTTCACTTTAAGCTGCAAAAGTTCAGTTCACGACGCATAGAAATATTAATTGGTTGTTGTTGGAATTATGCACTCAAAATAATCTGGTGTCAATCCAGCGCGGTGAAGTCACATATAGACACCGCGCGGTGTTAATTGCCCGCATTAACACCGCGTGGTGTCTATATGTGACAACACCGCACTGGATTGACACCAGGTTATTTTGAGTGTGATTTGGACAAGGCTCAAATTCAAATGATCAATAATTGCTTGGATTACGAGTCTCACATTTTAGAAGGTCGGTTCAATTTCTGTTGTAAAATTTTACTTAAACTCCACCATTTTCTAGTAGTCATCATCAATTTAGATAAATATTATAAAACACAAATTTATTTCGTTAAAGGCGCTCGGAAACTGCAAACCTCTACACAACTCAAAGCAACCCTTGGGTTTTTCCACCTACTGAAACACAGCTACTACATGGTCCCATTGGCAGTCCTCGGTTTGATTCTATTTGAGCCCTGCACCCCGCCCTTCATCCTCTCCATGACGACCAGCTGTTCGCAAATACGGTGGAACTGGCGTTACATGTTGATCCCACTTCTGGAAACGTACATCGGTTTTTGCTTCTTCTATATTGGAACTGCACCATTGGCGTACAATTTTTGCGGCGGAATAAGCTCGCTCTTGAGTTATATTCAGCTACTCGATACGTAAGATCAGTAACTGGAAAAGTAATTTGCATCATGGGCATACTTTAGCATGCCTCTCAATGACATGATGTTAAAATCCTGTGTTCTTATGATATTGAAGGAAAATATTGAAGGCCAAATCCACCGCAGAGAAGGAATCGTGCCTCCTAAATTATCGTATGATTCAACTACTCGACAAAATGATGAATGCCTTTCTTATGGAAAAGATCGTACCTTCCATTATTTGTGGGGCCCCACTGCTGCAAATAGGGGTGCAATATGTAGTAATCACCATGCATGGGGAAATTGCGATGCCGATCTTTCTCATCTTCCCCGTAATTCTGGTGGACACAATACTAAATAATATTCTCATTTTCACACTGGCATCATGGGTGTTCAATTCCTCGGTGAAATCCATTCAGAAGCTGGACAGGACGACGGTCAAGTATTCTAGGCGATCTGTGATACGACGTAAGCTGATATCGTGTGGATTACTAAAAATCAAACTTGGAACGAATTTCATCGACAGAAGGACACCACTGGTAATACAGAATCTTTGCCTGAATCAGACCATGTCCATGATTTTGATAAAGGAAGGGAGAAAGAACATTCTCCACTAGTTCAAGCTATGCATTCTGATTGGTTGCCGGCGTTCCGAATCCGCCAATCACAACATGGCTATGATTAAATTATGGTTGTGATTTAGGTCACAATTTTAATTATAGTTTACGTTCCCACATAGGATACTACTTATGGTACAACGTACGGTACAACTACTGGTATAACATATGGTACAACAAATGGTACAACATATGGTACAATATTTTGCACAGCAACGTCAAGAAACTGGGAAGTTAAAAAACTTCCATAACAACATCAAAAAAATCCTTAGCAACATAAAAAAATTTCCCTAGTAACGTCGAAATTTTTTTTAGGAACTTCAAAATTTTTTTTAGCAACGTCTAACAAATTCCTTATCAACGTTAAAAATGTAATGTGACCCGTCTTTAGGACGGGCTTATAGGTTAGTTAATATGCTAATTATAATGCCTAAAGTAGTCTTATTCCTATACTTGAATGACATCTAAATAGCCGTGACCTTTTGCCGACACCATGTGTCCCGACTAGCTAAAATTTTGCGATCGACTACAAAACATCATTAAAAATTCTTAATCCGTAAAAGTGTATTTTTATTTAATTTGACCTTCTTTTGTGTTCTGAGTACTTGGCTTTAACTAAAAATTATTTTAAATAAATATCTGAAATATATTACGAAATATGCTCCAACATTTTATGCCACGTGCACGACCGGCAAACTCATCAATAAATTGATCGCATTATCCAAAATGCTACAGAGGAAAGAGGTCATGATTGAGTTATCTATGTCGTAAAAGTAGTTTCCATTCAATCCAGCGACGTACCGAATTGGACGCATGGCGGTAAAGTAGCGTCGCAAGCATTTGTCTTCGGGTCGCCCATTTCCGCTCAATTGAGTCACCCATTGAGCCAGAGAGGTTTTTGAATTTTCTAAAATTGACACGATAACGGGGAGGAGTTGTTCCGTGATTATTAGCACGATGAGAATGAAGAAGGGGAAGATGAGATAGAATCCGAGCGGGACGACGTTGTGGAGGCGGATAGTGCCGTAGATGGACCCCGCTCCCAGCCAAATTCCGGTCTGGAGGAGGAGGAAGTTGGATGTGGCGTCGTTTTCCTGCATGGCGAGGACCAAGGAGGAAATTTGCGTGTAGGAGTAGAGTACCGACAGGATGTGAGAGATAGGGCTAAAGACAGGATTTAAAAAATTTGCATAATTTCATTATTTTTCAAGGTATTTTCAACTACCCAAAGTTTGTGTTTCTTGGCATGTTTCTACTTGCAAGGAATACCGGTAAGAAATGCGAGGGGCAAAAACCGGTTTTTTCGCCATTATAATTCGCACTGCGCGCCACTTGATGGCGCAGAGTTCTTGTATCCTACCTTTCATGCGTTTTTGGTTTACAGTGCAAAGAATGTAGGAAACACGTAAGAAACGAAAAAATGATTTTATATAAACAAAATTGGAAACAATTATGAATGATTTGGTCCAAAAAAACTAGTTCATCATTGTTCAAATTAAATAATATGTAAATAGGCTTACCGGCAAGTCAAATCGATTTTACCCATTTTCCCCACAATTCGAGTCAACAGCTGGATCGGCAATACTGCCAGGTATCCAATCATTGGGAAAATTCGGACACTTTCGGCAAAGCAGATGTACGCAATGACGGCCGAAATGGATCTGATCACAATTTGGACGATAATCAATTCATACACGGCTGTGGGGATGAAGTCCTCCAACACGAATTTGTACACGTCGAGGTTAGCAATCATGCCGAAAGGGACGGCGATCAAGGGGATGTAGGGAAGCGGAAAGAACACGGCGGACATGGCGAGCCCAAAAGTGTCCAAGTCACCGGACAGGTTGCGCCATATTGGCGGCTTCTTCGCCTTCTTAACTTTCATTTTAGCAGATGTCACGACTGAAAGTTTCGTAAAATAAAATATTATCACAATTTTTCTCAAAGTTTTAATTCACCTGATGAAGGAAAAAGTATTTTCTGACCGTCTAAAGCTCATCTAAAACTCATCTAAAGCTTGTGACCAATAAACATCGAACAAAAATACATCCATGAGTCCCGAAATAATGTCTCTTAAAATAAAATATTTTCCAATTGTAATTTTTTTTAAACAAAAGCTTGTATCTAAAATAATAAAACGGTAAGAAAATTGTCAACAATTAATGTTTACAAAGTTTTGTATGGAATAATTTATGTAAGTAAAATGTTAAGTCTTTTCAATATTGAGGCAAAAATTAAAAAAATATACATCATTTTATTAAGAGGTGGAATTAGATATTTATCGGATAAAACTTAATGTATCTTAAACAACAATGACGACATTATCCACAATTCTGTGGGAACATTCCAGCAATTTAGGAGGGAAATGAACTTATTCCTATTCTTACCAGTGCCTTTCAGCTGCTCTTCATGAAACCAGACAAGCCAATTGACCCTGTCGACCGCTTCTTCTCCATATTTCACGACATAAACTACAATTCCCGCGACGATACTTCCAGCCCCAGAGATCATCGTGTACAAGATCGTATGAACCATTGTGATGTGTTGTTTAGGTTTTATAAATTGACGAATCACAACGTACCCTGAACTTCCCATGGTGCAGGTAAGAAAGAGAAAAAACACGTTGAAAAACCAAGCAGAATATTGCGCTTTACTGGCGGATGTGAGCTTTGTAATGACAAATTGGTTAGATTTTGGGTTGTGACTAATCGGAAGTTTGCAGAGGCGGTCGTTAATCTTGAAATTGTAGGTGAGAGCTTTAAACGCAAGAGGGGTTGGCATGGTGACCAATTAATTGGTGGGTTAGTAAATGAACTATGGTCTACAAATTTTTAACAATTGTATGGAAAAATGTAAGAACGGTTTATGTATGTCGCGTAGGGATGAAGGACAACAACAGAAAAATGAGACACGTAAAGTTGCCAACATCAGTTGGGTAAATTGTTTTTAGGGTAAGATATACATACACTCTTAGAAAAATCGTAACCAGATTATCACCAAAGTTTAGACGTATATGACTCTTAGGGTTTTACATTGTCAGTGTCAACGGAATAAATGTCATGTCATGTCATAAATGTCATGACATGTCAATTTGTCAATTTTTTGTCATAAATGTCAAAGCATCGAAATGTATGACATTTATGACAAATATGACGGACATTTATGACATTTGTCATAAATGTCAATCTCAATATGCCCCATGACCTGATCTTGGTAGCAGCTATTAAACTCTTCTTTCTCTCACTGCAATTCAAATAGTCTAATAATTCAAAGAGTATTATGTATTGAGTGAATGAATATATGACCTTACTAAACTCTGTAGACTACCAGTGGTCCAAGCTTCATATTGCTCTCATGTTTAACGAAAAACATTTTATGTTATCGGAAAAGAAAGACTTCAGGTCAATATAATTGGAAGCAACATGTCTGGAATGGGCCAACTATTCCAAATACATGCTCTAAATAAAGCTGATGATCAGAGACAAACAGAATAAGTTGTAATTTTAAGAGCGAAAGTCGTCAATATAATATGCTCAGTGTCGTTCGTAGTAAAAAATTATACGAGAGGAAAGATGTGTAGCTGAGAAACAAAATATAAAGCCTACGATGATTTTTATTTGGAGAAAATGAGATACGAAAATTAAAATGTCATAATTGTCAATGTCAAGTTGACAGAAAAGTTGACAATTTCGAATTTGACGAATTTTCATAAATGTCATAATTGTCAATAAAAATAAATGTCTGACATTTATGACATTTATGACATTTATGACATGTCAAAATGTCATGACAAGTTGACAATGTAAAACCCTAATGACTCTACCGGTTTGGTTATAATCAACACCGAAATGGTGTTAAATCGTATCATCTTCACTGCGGTGTTAATTATCACCACAATGAAGAGCAACAAAACCACAATGTGGCAAGATGTATATCATTCAGGTTACGATCCTTCAATTTATTGGTGATGATTAACACTATGACGGTGATGTTTATAACCGATATATTGTAAATTATTAAGCTTACGGTGACGATTTGCTTTTAACATAGTGTTTTATTTGATTTTTTAAGATAATATCAGTTCCGTATGGCATTAAATCCATTTACAAAAGTCAATTAATAAATATATATTTTAGCAAATACCTGCATACTTGAAATAATGACAAATCAAATTTTAAATTATGATTCCTTCAGTAGAAAAATATCTCCAGAAAGGTAAAATGTCGATGATTACTTTTGCAAGTAATTTTTGCTCCGCTGACGAGTGGGTTTCTAAACAAAGGGTATGAAAGGAAAATAATTTAGAAATATATATTGTACAATACATATTCATTAATTACAACTTTTAACCCTATCTACTAACCTAATTTTGAAGGTTGATTTGCTGTTCAGCAACTGCAAACAAACAATTAAATATTCTTGAAAGTAGATTAATGGAAAATTTAATTTAAATAATTTATTTGCGATATTTTTGCTTCAGGATTCACGTGTTGATGTTTGACAGAAGATACAATTTGTTCACTGATTTCTGTGCCGACTTGGTTAGAAATTTCGGATTCCTCGTCCAACTTGAATTCTAATTTAACTGAACCAGAAAACAGTTTATGTACTAAAAGTTTAAAGTAATGTTAAATGGTTAAAAAATTGTTACCTTTAATTATTAAAAACTCCAGATAATTGTCACTCGACACAATTCACAATTATTTTTTTCCACGTGCAAAAGTCGATACACGAACTAAATAAGACATTGTGATGAGGAATAACACAATAAAGTGATGCAGCGCCACCAGCGTAGCATTATTGAATCTGAACATAACCGACTGGTGTAAAACCATAAAGAAGTCTTGAGCAAACATCACCAGATAATAAAATAAAGCATCACCAGACTATTGTCAGTCTGCATGACAGTCCGGTGACAATATCGGTTATAATGAAATATAACTTTTTGGTTATAATCGTAACCAATTGGCATAAAAATTATACCGATGTTGTACAGCGGAGGATTTTCAGACCGGTTTCAACCTTCTTACGCATTTGGTTATAATCTGGTAATATTTTGCTTAAAATTGCGGTGGTAGTTGTTATCACCAAATGTCTGGTGATAACGTTTATTAGAAAATTATAACCACACTTCTAAGAGTGTACATGAAATGGGTACAGCTTTCTTACACGGGCTGAATTGTAAATGTTGACTTTATTTAATTAAGAACATGAGCAATATATAACTTTTCCAGAATAAATTTATAACTGTGTTTAGGGATACCTTAGAATCATTTTTTTCCACCGGATTATACTTTATATTTTAAAAGATTTGCCAAAAATGTATGTTTACGATTAGGATTCTAAGCGGACACGTGCCTTAAAATGAAGTTTACAGTGCCCATGAAACTAATGTTGTAAGCAATAGAAAGCTACACAATTGCGCACGTGATATTATAAACCTTGAATAGAGCAAAACTTCTAAACTGTTTTCCAATTTTCAATAACGTAACCATTTTGATACAAAATATGAAATGAGTCGTATAAGTGGTTTAAAGTTTGGAAAGGTCTTACATACAAAATATCTAGGTATAGGAAAATTATAAAAAGAATCAAAATTGGTCAAAAGTGCCAATATTAAGATTTTCAAAAATTCGTGGAGATGACGAATATGAAGCCCAATTCCGAAAATATTGATTATTAAGGTGGAATTGCATGCTGGCTGATGTGGGTTTTGAGTTTGAATTGTTGTGTCTCAACTTTCCTTTCCTCCACGTAGGTATTCAAATGGCGATTTTGAAACATGCACGCTAAATAAATTTGATTAAAATTTACTCAAGGTTGAGTAAAATTTGCGATGACACAACTGTTGTGTAAAATTTATCAAATGAAAGTTAAAATTTATCCAACATTGTAGAAATTTCGCACAACCTTGAGTAAATTTTACATTTGTTGAGTAAATTTTGCACAATCAGTTGTGTCATCACAAATTTTACTCAACTTTATTTAGAGTGTGTTCATCGCCTTTCGTTTTTTACAATATGAAGATTTTAATGCACCTAAAAATCCAAAGATTACACCTGTTTGATGACCTAGTATTATGACGTTGCAGGTTAAATGTGAAATTTATATGCATGTAAATTAATGCAAAAAATTGCCCATTACAGCGTCACAGCGAGAAGGGGAAAAATGCAGATTTCTGAATATACCTGTCAACCATTCGGTATGTTCATACGTGGTCTGCGAGTTTCATATTCTTGGCCCCTCGTGTGACTACGTGACGAATTGCTGCTATAAAGCGTGAATAATTTGTTTGGAATTGATTGTTTGTCGTTAATAAAGCGACGCATTTAAAATAAAGTGACCGGAAATGATTGTATACTTGAAATGCATAATTTTCATGAAATGTAATCCCTATGAATAAATCCACATGTAACAATTATCTAACAATGATCCTGATGATCCATATCGATCAAATTATGTATAAGACTGGACGGGTTTAAAATTAAGTTCAAAATCTGCAGAATTTCTTACTTAAATTGGATGACAATAATTGTTTGAAAATCACTACGTTATCTCTTATATTTGTAATTATTCATTCATAACCACAAATGCAATTTGCTTTATGCAAGTCTGATTTACTAATTTACATACATATGCCACCTGACATCAAATATTTATCAGTGCGCTCATTATCTGTTTTAATTTGGCCGGTTCCATAGTTTCCGACAAATTGGCAATCTCTGCTGCAAGTTCCTTTTTGTTTTCAACAATAAATTTCAGCACGTGCCCCTCCAAAGTTTCCAGGCGTTGGTCTACCTCCACCTGGACGTAAGCAGAATGATATATGTTTAAACGTCGAAAGTCAATGAACCCTACCTGGCTGTTATAGGTCACCAAAAGGTTAAACGTTTCCATCGCGTTGCCCACTGTTAACCCGTCTTTTACCGCGGTATCGCAAATGGTGACAAATTCCTCCTCTTTGTACCTGTTGCACAGCAGGAGGAGATCTGGAATACAAATTGCTGTTAATTTATTTCCTAAATTAAAAGCTAGTTGTATTAAATTTTACCCAGGATGTATTTCATGTTAGACTTGCTACAATTGAGTTTCCCGGTGTACACGAGAAACAGGTAGGCGTGAAATGTTGTAAACTCTACATCCGTCACAACGATTGACTTCCAGCTAAAGGATTGAAAGATTCAAATTTTATGTGTAACTTTTTTGGTTGAACTTACAATGGAGGTCTCCCAACGTATGCTCACAGATTTGGACCAAACTAGCGTCAATCGATCACAAATATAATTAGTGTGAAATTTGCGAATAAAACTATCTGCCAATGGTCAAGTTTATATGAGATATTTGCATAAAATGAGGAGAAAATGCACCCCAAAAGCTGGCAAATTTTTCATTTTCTAAATTTGCTCCGCATTTTTCCCGCTTTTTATGCAAATATCTCTGCCAAACCTGCGCATTGGGAGATAGTTCCATATGCAAATTTCATACTAATTATATTTGTGATCGATTGACGCTAGTTTGGTCCAAATCTGTGAGCATACGTTGGGAGACTTCTATTGTACGTACATGTTGTGATTCTGATTCACAATTCATACTCTGTAATGTGATCAAAGTTCAGAGTCTGGCAATTTATCCAGAATAGTGACTTATTTGTCTACACGTGTGGCTGATTGGCAAATAATGTTTAATTACTTTATCTCCAATACTGCGCTGCAAATTAAGTAACGCTCTTGGCTCGATGCAAGCATCAATAATTTTGCGATGTCTTGTTCATTGTGCAATCTCCAGTAGTCAGAGGACAAATTTTATCTGGTGAGTGCATTTTTATAAGAATATGAATGAATCAGACCATGTTTTCAATTATCCAGTGAACTGAACTTCATACCCATGCATTGAGTACAAAATCATGCCATCATCATGTGATCAATTATGTACATTTCTTACATGGATACAAATCCTTAAAATAAACCGTGGTAAACGCACATAAAGAAGTACCTTCAGCCTCACTTCCCCCCAATTTCAGTTAAATCTCAATTTGCCCCGACCACACCCTCTTGAGTTGAGGGGGTGTGGCACAACTCGGTATCACTTAATTTCACTCTATTTCATCTATAGATTCGATTTTTTGTTAAAATCTCATTTTCCCCCGACCACACCCCATGGTGCCAGTGGGGGTGGTCCACCTGACCCCAAAAGTTGATAGGATCCTCCCCCTGGGGTCATATGTATAATGTCGAAAACCGATTTCGATTATCTCGATCCGTTCTCCCGTTATCCTGCTGACAGACGGACAGACAGACGGACAGACAGACGGACAGACAGACAGGCCACGGACTCCAAAATGGTCATTTTTTTGTTCAAAATTTGTAAGGAGCATATCCTATCATATATATATATATGTTCTTGACCAGGGTGACCCAAGGAATGCGCCAAATTTTTTTTGTGAGGTCACACCCCCTGGGGGGCGAACCACCCCCCCTGTGGGGGGAACTTGAGACTGACCCCTGAATATTGTTAAGCAACTATCTTAGGTGCTATGTGCCAAATTTCAGTTTTCTAACCCTCATAGTTTGGATGGTGCATGCGTTTAAAGGTCAGAAAACAGGTGTTTTGGGGCCGTTTCGACCACGCCCCCTGCCTGAAGTGGCAGACATGGGCAACTACACTAGGTGCAGTTAGACTCACCTTCAAGAGTACTACAAAATCCTGCAAGGGTTCTTTGGAAGTGAGTAGGATTCTCTAGATATTCCACATTGAAATAGTCCAAATCGTCCAAACCACGTTTTCAAACTTACAATGGAGGTCTCCCAACGTATGCTCACAGATTTGGACGAAATTAGTGTCAATCGATCACAAATATAATTAGTATGAAATTTGCAAATCGAACTATCTGCCAATGCGCAGGTTTGGCGGAGATATTTGCATAAAAAGAGGAGAAAACGCACCAAAAGGCTGGCATATTTTTCATTTTCCAAATTTCCTGCGCATTTTTTCTGCTTTTTATGCAAATATCTCCGCCAAACCTGCGCATTGGCAGATAGTTCCATTTGCAAATTTCATACTAATTATATTTGCAATCGATTGACACTAATTTCGTCCAAATCTGTGAGCATACGGTGGAAGACCTCCATTGTTAGACCGGGGATCTCCACAAATTATGTCACGCTAAAGTGCTAATGCATGAGACCCCCCCCCCAACCCCCTCAGTACGCTTTGTCACGCGTTACACCCGGTTTTCACATTTTGCGACAAACGGTCTGCCACGCACAAATTTTAGCCTTAGCCGTGACATGTTTATGGACATTTCCAAAATCTTACGTTTTTCCTTCCTTAGGTTGGGTTTTTTCTAAAATTGACTTAAAATGGGGACTGTTCTTAAGCAAAATGTCGCTGTGTCCTGGAATGCGAACGTCATCTATGGAGAAGAATACGTCGCCCGTCACCTATATAAATGAGATTGTTACCATTTCGTTCGTCTAATACGGTGGAGAAGTTGAGCTACTAACTTAATAAACACTAAATAATCTAATAAAAAGGCAATACATACATTTGTGTGACCCTGATGAATACAACATTCGTTGTAGAAAGCTTGGTCGATTGTAAATAAAATTGTGTACTTAAAAAAATCTAAATAGTCCTAACAACCATTTGAAAAATAATTTTGAACTAAATAATCGGGTAACCACACTAAAACAAAAATTTGTCAGATTAACACCGCCGGTGTCAATATTTCACTTAACCGCCTCCGTTAAAATGTTGATTCCGATTTATGATGATTTTGATACCGGTAGTTATTATGTTATGACCGGACGGAAACATTTCACTACCGCCCTGAATCACAATTGTGACCAAGGCGGTTAAGTCATATATTGACACCGGCGGTGTTGATTTGACTAATTTTTGTTTCGAGTGTACAGCTTAATGGGTGAGCTTGTACCTGGGTTGCCAAATGTATTGACGGACCTGGCACAGGGGTTGTTAGTGCAGAGCGATTTTCTACGACCAACACGGTTGAGCAGTACGCATTGCACAATTGCTTGAATGGTTCCAAAATATTTGTAAACTTTGTGCCAATTGGTCTCTTAGCGTCATCTGTTCCCCAAATGAATATCTTGCTTTTCATTTGGCAAGCGCTCAAGTTTGACATTGGATGTGCACAAATATCTGTGACACGTTCTGGAAATTCCAACAGAATCGGATCATTCGTAGTTCTTCTTTTTTCGCTGCCAAGTTGGGAAAATGAATTGTTTCCCCAAACATAAACTTCTCCATTGTCGCACAACGCGAGGAAATGCGAGTGTCCACATGTAACCTGTTTTGTAAAAAATGGAAAGATTGTATAAGAAGCATCACGTAAACGTTCCGGTAATATTCCAGAATGGCGGATTATAAATGCATAACAAATACCTAGCCAACGAAAACTCAAAGATTAAAAAAGTTAGACAAGTTATTTTGACAAATAATGTCAGGTCACATTATCTTAACAAAGTTTACAAAAAATTAGGGGAGCTACAAAATCTCAACTACATATATAAAGCAAACGAGTGAATCGATGCGTTGAGAATTTAGCCTCTCGTTATCTCTGTATACTCTTCGGCGAGGAAAAAATTAGACTAACTTCACTGCCCGTCAAGGCAAGATCGTCTAAACTTGCTGGCATAATAAAACACAAATATGTAATGAACGAAGCGGATTTATTCATGAAAAACTCTAGGTACATTAAATATTATAAGATTTTGATGCTGATCTTTCTATAACAAGGTAGATATGCACTTATTACTGACCTTCTTTATCGTGTGGGGTAATTTTTTTCGGTGTCCCGTGTTTGCGTGGTTTGATCTCCAAAAAACAACCTTTGAGATAAATGATAAATTATTGTTAAACAAACGTAACAACCAAGATTGACTTATACACGACCGTTATCTAAAAAATTATTTTGACACGGAAAGCTAATTATCAATAAATTCAACTTATAGCCCAACCCAATTTAGCGGAGTAATAAATCGCTAGTTTGCGGAGACACTCTAACGCAATTTTGCGTTAATTCTAATTTTCGGTACCAATTTCTTCATTGAAGGGTAATAAATTTAACTTTACCCGAAATTACTGCTAATATTCGCGTAAAAGTTAAACCAAAGCAGTATGGCATTATGCACAGTAATTATATTGCAGATGAAAAATTTACACCCCGAATTTTAGACATAAACCAGCTAAATCATTGATCCTTGTGCTTACTTACCTTGCCATCCTTCGAAAAAGCGGCAAAACAATCCTTCCCTGCCGATATCCCGGCAACATTCATCCCCTCAAATAATTTCGAAAGTGTAAAAACGTGCGTAGCGTATTTGAATTCTGTTCCGTTTAAGTATAATAACAAATCGCCACATATGTAAATCTTGTTGTCTTCGGACATTGCGACTATGAACTTATTTCCACAGGCGACAGTAGCTATTCTAACAGATTCTAGTCCCTTTATCTGGAATGACTCGCTGTCATACTTATCGTTATCTTCGTCAAGTTTGTGATTTTCATCGATTTCGTAGTCTTCGTCAACTTCGTAGTTTTCGTCAATTTCGCTGCCTTCCTCACTTTCGCTGCTTGGTTCAACTTTGTAGTCCACGTCGGCTTCACTGTCCTCATCAGATGTGTCGAATAGGTCGAATATGTCGACCATCTCACGGGCACTTTCAGCTTGGCCGGGTACGTTCGACCCCCACACGTACAATTCGCCGGATTTTGTTAGTGCCGCAAAGTATTTAGAGCCATAGGAGTAAAGCTCTGGAAGGAATTTGATCAAATTTAAATATAGATACAGGGTGGTATAAATGTTACGCTACAATGGCGAGTTTTTCAAAGGGAAAAGTCCCTAACTCTTAATTAGTTACAAGGTCTGAGATCCAGATTTTTATTACTTATTATAAAAACTGGTGGAACATTGATGAAGAAATTCTTAAAATGTTTAATTTCAGAGATACAAATTTCGGTAACTAATTGGAATTTAGGGATGTTTCCCATTGAGATATTTTCCATTATAGCGTGACATTTAAACCACCCTGTGTACATAACTCGTTAATTAACCCTTATCTTTATTAATCCTTATCAAGAGAGTGCAGTGGGATAAATATAAATAAATAAGCAAAACCTGTCTTTACCTACAATTCCTTTGCCACAAAGTGGTGTCAGCTTATTGGCGGTTATTTTAATTCGTTCCACGGATGGCACGTCATCCGGTTTGTTTGATTCGATCATAATAACGTCATCCTTCTTCGTTACGACGATTGCTCTTAAAGGCCCTATTACGCAGGCACGCTCGACCTCTTCAATAGTAGCGGGTTCATTCAAAAGTGTAAACACGGTCCAAGTGGATAAGTCCTTTTTCGAAATTGTCAGAAGATTTTGAGACATAGGCTTTCGACTCGTTCCAGGTGTTACATTGTTAGCCATTGTATATATGAAAAAATGACTTTAGTAAGTTCTGTAAATATGTATGAGTCTTAACTGATTTTGTGTCTTTAACCTTGTAAAATATTTGTAAATTGTTCTGCAAAATAATCCACGAATACTTTTCGATTTGTTCAACAGTATATTTATGAGGTGGGTTTGTATGCTGGTAAAACACTGACGCCAAAGAGTCGCAGTTATCTCCGGATTCCATAACTTATCTGAAGTATTCAATACTCACAAGTTAAGTACTTGCTGGTGATAATGATGTACCACCCTGGCCTAAAAATGTCATCACTTCTATTATCAAATTCTGATTGGGCTAGATAAGCTTGTGCAGTCTATACGAGCTACATATTTAGGTATGCATTGATAAGTTACAAGGGTGTCGCGATGAGATAGTACCACAGAGCTGTATATATCATAAGTAGAGGCATTAACGTTTTTCTTTGTTGAATGAGGTTGAATGTAAACCACGCGTGGTTTACAGTCTCATCCACCGTAAAATATCACGTGGCTACGTGATATTTTACGGTGGATGAGACTGTAGGCATTGCGTCATCAGTTATCACCCATCAGCCTTATCGCCCACCTCTACTTGACCCACACCATCAATTTGTACATGTATAAACGGATAGAATGGATTGAGGACTGTACATATTTTATATTCATCGGAGTAATCTGTACTCCTGGAGTTAACTATTTAGAGTAGCGACTTGGGGGTTACTTTGGAGATGAATTCGATGCTACAACAGGTTGGGTCAGGTTATTTGATTTAACAAAAATTTAAAATCCGGAATTTTAAAATTCGCAAAATGTACCCTGTTTTTAATTTGTAACTCTTGACAACTCAAAAATATAGAGGGCAAATTTTGCGAATTTTCCAAGTCCGGATTTTTTTAAATCTCCAAAGTAACCTTCTCCAGTGCAAAGACCTTGCGACTTGGAATAGTTATCTCTTAAATGACGTACTTAATTGCCAACGGATTCATTAAATATTGGGCTTCAGTGGGGCTTGGTGTCAATGAGTTGAGCAGGTTCGGATTCTCTTCGTCACATCCAGCGTACTCGGCACATAATGTAAATAAATCTTCTTAATGCATACGTATCTATATTATAAGCTGAAAATGTTTTTTGGCAACGGAAGTGAAAGTAATTTTCCGAAACGGAAGTGAAAGTAGAGAAAACAATAATATTAATTGGTTGAATTTTTAACATAAAATTCACTGTCGCCCGGCGGGAGTCGGGCTAATACGCTAGTATCATAAATTCGAAAAGTCAATCCCGTCAAACTTTCCGTGACATTTCTGTATTCTGATTGGTTACCGGCTTTCTGAATCCGCAAATCACAGCACGGCTATGACCATTTTTATAATTTAGGCTCAATTTGAAATATAATTTACGTTACAACATATGGTTCACCTTACGGTACAAATTATCGTGAAACGTGTTGTACAACAAATGGCACAATATATTGTACAACAATGTTAAGAAACTTAAACGTTAGCAACATAAATAAATTTCCTTAGCTACGTACAAAAATTCCTTAGGAATATAAGAAAAGTTCATTAGCAACGTTAAAAAACTTCCTTATCTATATTAAAAAAACTTCCTTAGCAACGTCAAAAAATCCTTAGCAACGTTAAAATAGTTCCTTAGCAACATAAAAAAAAATTCCCTAGCAACGTGCAAAAGATTCTTATGAACGTCGATAAAATTCCTTAGTAAAAAACTTAATGTGGGCCATCTTTAGGACGGGCTTATGGGCTAGTAAATACAATATTTATAATGCCTAAAATAGTCTTATACCTACATTAAATGGCATCTAAATATCCCTGACCTTTCCCTGACTAGCTAAAATTTTGCGATCGACTTCAAAACTTCAAAATTCAAAATTCTTATTTCAAAACGAAATTGAAAAATTAAGCTCCTCGTGACCGTAAAAGTGTATTTTTATTTAATTTGACCTTCTTTTGTATGTCCTGAGTACGTGGCTTTAACTAAAAATTTTAAATAAATATCATCTGAAATCTGATATATATTACGGAACCTACTCGAACATTTTATGCTACGTGCACGACCGGCAAACTCATCAATAAATTGATCGCATTATCCAAAATGCTACAGAGGAAAGAGGTCCTGATTGAATTATCTATGTCGTAAAAGTAGTTTCCATTTAATCCAGCGACGTACCGAATGGGACGCATGGCGGTAAAGTAGCGTCGCAAGTATTTGTCTTCGGGTCGCCCATTTCCGCTCAATTGAGTCACCCATTGTGCCAGAGAGGTTTTTGAATTTTCTAAAATCGACACGATAACGGGGAGGAGTTGTTCCGTGATGATTAACACGATGAGGATGAAGAAGGGGAAGATGAGATAGAATCCGAGTGGGACGATGTTGTGGAGGCGGATAGTGCCGTAGATGGACCCCGCTCCCAGCCAAATTCCGGTCTGGAGGAGGAGGAAATTGGGCGTAGCGTCGTTCTCCTGCACGGCGAGGACCAACAAGGAAATTTGCGTGTAGGAGTAGAGCACTGGCAGGATGTGTGAGACAGGGCTAAATTTAGGGTTTAAAAAATTTGCATAATTTCATTATTTTTAACCCTTTAAACTGTAACGACGACAATAGTCGTTTTATAAGAAATGGTTTAATTCGGGAATACGACAAAAGTCGTCCTGAAAAATCGTGGTCATGGCGCGGAAGGAAGACTATTGTCGTTTCTAGGAGGTCATTGATTTTCACCATTTTCTCTCTAAAATTTGTTGCAATATTGAGGGATTTCTCCTATGCCAACACAATGCTAAATTTGAAGATTTTCTTCCCGAAAATTTGGATATTTCCCTATACAACGCAATGTTAAATTTTTGATTTTTCAGTTTTTCGAGTGTTATTATAACTCCTGAATTTCTCCTCCCTCGCCATGACCACAACATACTTATAGCGTCCCCGATTTAATGCATTTTCTTGTTAATCATACACGTTAAAGGGTTAAAGGTATTTCAGGTGCAAGTATAACTACCGAAAGTTTGTGTTTTTTGGCATGTTTTTACTTGCAAGGAATAACGGTTAGAAATGCGAGGCGCAAAAACCGGGTTTTTCACCATTATAATTCACACTGCGCGCCTCTAGATGGCGCAGAGTTCTTGTAACCTACCTTTCATGCGTTTTTGGTTTACAGTGCAAGGAATGTAGGAAACACGTGAGGAACGAAAAAATGATTTTACATACTTAAACAAAATTGGAAACAATTATGAATGATTTGGTCCAAAAATTAGTGAGTTTTCCCTTTCATCATTGTTCAAATTAAATAAAACCAAAATAAGCTTACCTGCAAGTCAAATCGATTTTACCCATTTTCCCCACAATTCGGGTCAACAACTGGATCGGTAATACTGCCAAGTATCCAATCATTGGGAAAATTCGGACACTTTCGGCAAAGCAGATGTACGCAATGACGGCCGAAATAGATCTGATCACAATTTGGACGATAATCAATTCATACACGGCTGTTGGGATGAAGTCCTCCAACACGAATTTGTACACGTCAAGGTTAGCAATCATGCCGAAGGGGACGGCGATCAGGGGGATGTAGGGGAGCGGGAAGAACACGGCGGACATGGCGAGCCCAAAAGTGTCAATGTCACCGGACAGGTTGCGCCAGATTGGTTGTTTCTTCGTCTTCTTAGCCTTCATTTTCTCAGATGCACCGGCTGAAAATTTCGCAAGTAATAAAATGTTTGCCAATTTTACATACGCTTTATAAAATTTTTCGAAACAAAAGCTTGTCTCTAAAATATAGGGTGGAAAAACTGCCAAAAATTTCAAGTTTACAAATTTTTCTACGGAATAATTTAAGGAAAATGTAAAAAATTTTCAGTATTGAGATAAAAATTTAAAAAAAATACACATCATTTTATTAAGAGGTGGAATTAGATATTTAGCAGATAAAACACGAACTATCTTAAATAAAAACGAGGGCAATATCCACAATTTAGTGGGCATATTCCAGCAATTTGGGAGGGAACTTAACTTAATTCCTACCTTTACTAGTGGCATTGACCTGCTCGTCATGAAACCGGATCAGCCAATTTACCCTATCGATCGCTTCTTGGCCATATTTCACGACATAGACCACAATTCCCACAACGATACTTCCAGCCCCAGAAACCATCGTGTACAAGATCGTATGAACCATCGTAATGTGTTCTTTAGGTTTAATAAATTGGCGAATCACAACGTACCCCGTACTCCCCATGGTACAAGCGAAAAAGAGAAAAAACACGTTGAAAAACCAAGCTGAATACAGCGCTTTGCTTAACTTTGTAATGGTAAATTGGTTAGATTTTGGGTTGTAACTGATCGGGATTTTGCAGAGGTGGTCGTTCACTTTGAAATTGTAGGTGAGAGATTTAAAGGCAAGTGGGGTTGGCATGGTGACGTATTACAAGAATTTTCAGGTGGATTATGGACTAAATTTTAACCATTTTAGAGACAAAACTAAGAAAGATTTATACAAATCGCATATGCAGGAATGGACAATCGAAGTGGAGCACAACAACAAGCAAATGAGACACGTGCGATATGTAAAGTTGGCAACATCCGTAGAGTAAATTTATTTTCAGTTAAAATATACATGAAATGGGTATAACTTTCTTGGACGGGCTGAACTGTAAATGCTGACTTTATTAAATTAAGACCAAGAGCAATATGTATATCTTCCAGAATAAGCTTGAAACGGAATTTAGGGATACCTTAGAATCATTTTTACCCACCGGATTATACTTTATATTTTGGCAAATTTGCCAAAAATGCCTGCCTACCATTAGGATCCTAAATGGACACGTATCATTCAACAAAGTTTACGTTCCCATGAAATTAATGTCGTATGTAAACAATTTGGAAAGCTACATAATTCATATTATAAACCTTGAAATCAATTGGAGCAAAACTTCTAAACCGTTTACCAATTTTCAACAACGTACTTAACCATTTTGATACAAAACATGAAATGAATTATATATTTACATAAATGGATTAAAGTTGGCACAAGTCTAGCATACAAATCTAAATAAACAAATCTAATAAATAATTTGATCTAACAAAACAGGATAGGGAAAAAATCCTATCTTGCCCATGCTAGCCAGCGTTACGTAATTTATGGACGGCGCCTTTTAAAATTAGCGCCCCAAATAACAATATAGGTAGTTAGGAAGCGCACCAAATATCTGTCAAATCTCAACAGTATATATCATAAAGTATCCTCAGTTCCAAGAGAAGGTGATAAGATTTAAATCATTTCCATTCTCTAATCTTTATTAGTTTCGGAATATACTTGGAAATGGAGAGTGCAACCCGAGCGCATCATTTCATTTTGGATTTCCCAGAGGTGACTTTAATTAAAAATATTTCATACTGATTGGTAACATTTCACAAATAATTCACAAAAGATTTTTTTGTCCAGATAATTTCCAGAATTATGAAATTCCTATCCACGTCAGACTTAGAATCGTCCTCTCTGATCAACCCCACCTGGGAGAACGTAGCACTGGAACACCTCCTGATTCGAAATCCAGTCGATATCCAGCTAAACTCCGATATTAACGATTCCACCGAGCTCACCACCCTGGCCAACTTGTCACCTAAATACGTCAAAATTTTGACATCGGATGACACTAATTTTGACATTTTACTCCCGAAACTAGCACTCTTACATACCTTGAATTTAAATGCCGTAAAGAAACTTGAAATCGAACTCAACCTCGATAACGTGGGGTATTATTTGGTGAAAATTTGCGAATCCTTAAAAAATCTGAGAACTTTAGAAATCAAACTTTCCTACACCATTTATAAGAAAATACTTCCTGCGGATCACCCCTGGCAAAAAATATTTCCCAATGGGGACACCCAAACGGCAAAAAAACTGAGAACTCTGTCCATCCACATGTTTCATTCGTCTTGGAAGGATAAAGTATTAAGGTGCGAAACCGCGGTGTGCGTTGCTACCCGAATTTTACACGTTTTTCGTCACCTGCAGCACCTCAGGTTATCTGGCATTCCTGCATTACCCCTGCTAAATATGGAAGGTATCAATCTACCCCAATTAGAATCACTTTCAACAGAAACAATAAGAGGTTTACTAGCGCATGAAAGGTTCCTGCCATTCTTACAAAGCAACCATTCACCGCGTAAAACTATTTTCGCCAATGTGACCCGACTCGAATTTAGCCTGCTAGCGTACAGTGAACCAGACGATTTCAAAGACCTCCTTACCCTCCTGGCACCCCAGCTGAGACATTTCTGCATCTCTCGAATAAGTTCGGTCTGTTCCTCGGGAACCGTTGTGGTCCCGATTCTCCCCAAGTTAAAGGTTTTTGAAATTTGCAGACGTCAAAATACATGCATGGATTCCACTCTATATTTGAATCCTGGTCTTACCTTAAATTTTGAGTCTGGGGTACGAGACGAGGTTCAGTTAGTGTACAGGAGACAATTTCCCGCTTTGGAGAAATTAATTGTGCGCGTTGCCCCGCAACGTTTGTACGATAAGCTGGATAAAGCTATCCACTTCGAAGCAACGGTGGTTTTCTTGTCGGAGGGTCTCGAACCTTGTGAGACGTTGAAAAATTTGGATATTTCCATTCCCACGGTGGATGAGGTTAACCTGAGGAGGAAAAAAAGGCACCGGTTGTGCACGTGTGGCGTAAAGGTTTGCGGGTATTGTAGTTGTGTGGAGGACATGAGCGACATTTACGACAGGATAATCACCATTTTTCCCAAGCTGGAAGACCACTTGGTCGAAAGGCAGAGTATGAAGGAGAGATCGGCAGATATTAAAATGTTTAAAGAGTTGGCCGACAAGTTGGGGATTTCTGATGGGAATGATTTTAATAGAATGTTTAAAAAATAGTAAGTCAAACGACGAGAAATTTAATTGCACAACCTGGCCACGTTGAACTCAATTTTGTAAAGGAATAGGTTTGTCTAATTGGAAGTTTAATCTATATAGATGGGCAATTTTATAGGTGTAAAGATATCTGACGTGTTTAGATGTTAAATTGTACCGAAATTCGGATTTGGGTGGGGGTGTGGGTGGAATTATAAATGAGTTGAGTAGGTTGGGCTCCAGTACAGACGAAACTTTGTATTATGTAAATACCTAAATATGTACGTTAAATTCATTCTTATGCCCCTTCTGAGTTTACTCTAATTTTACTTGCATATATACAAAACCTCAACTTTCTCAGACTTACTGTGTGCAATTGTTTATCCCAATTTTTATACAAGTCTAGACTGGGTCGTGTTTATTATGTCCGATTCAAATAAACAACATCCTCATTGATAAAATAATCGATTCTCTCAAGTTTAATACTTTACGGTAGAATTCAAAGCATTGTTAAAATTGTTTAGCAATTAAAAAATTCCAATGCAGGATGTTACTCGTTACAGGCAAAATAATGTAGACAGGAAGGACCCGTTCTGTGCGACGTGTTCAGTCATATTTCACAAATAGCAATGTTACATATTCCTCCAAATTTTTTAACGAAACTAAAAATCGCGATTAAAATTAGAAAAATATATCCGTTACATCTTGTCTAAGAAATTTAACACTACAATCAAATTTAAGTAAATTGCTATCTGAAATTAAGCGAAATGGATACATTTTTTGTTGCCAATTGTGTTAAAAGTTGGAGTAAAATTTATAAATTTTACACCGTCTTAATTTTATACGTAATTTCTCAGTCTCAACTTTCCCAGTGTGAAAAGACAGTACTGACGCCTAACGATATCTCCACGATGCCAATAACGATCGCTTCTTACGGTCCGGATGTCGCCCGAGCCAAAAAATACGTCTATTTGTCCGGAGCCGCCTACTGTTTCAACATTCCCGCCTGGAAGTGTCCGTACTGCGAGAAAGCGCAAGGTTTTGGGTATGACTTCCACGCGCTAATTGTCAACAAGCAGGCCAACACGCTGGCTTTTATCGCGATTAACAAGGAGCTCAAGGAGGTCGTGGTTACGATTCGTGGAACGCTAAATGTTGCGAATGTGGTGCAGGATATCCACCCTTCAATTTTGAGCATTGAGACAGGGTCCAGTCCTCTTGGGAGGGGAAAAAGTAAGGGACCGGAAATACGGATCCACACCGGCATGATTAACGCAACCAACTCACTCTACCCGGAAATAGTGGAAAAGTTTGGCAAGGTTTTAAAAGAGAATGAAAACTTTGAAGTTGTGCTTGTAGGTGGGTGAGCTTTACTGTGATTCTTTTGGGGATATTTGTGGGTATTTATAATATTGGTAAAACGGTGCTGGAGGAAATTGCTGGAATTTTGTTAATTTTGGTCGTGATTAGAAATTTGAGTATATTTAGCGTCGGACAAATTTGCTACGTCATATAAACCTTGTAAATTATGTTAGAAATTGCACAACTTTGTAAATTTTGGACACTGAAAATTGTGAAATGTTTGGCGATTGAATCAAGGCCATTCCAAAACGTTTTTAATGGCAAAATTGTAACGCTGTTCACAACTACTTATAATTTTCTCAAATGTTAAAATGTGCACTATGAAGCCTTAATAGTAATTTACTCAATTTGGAAATTTTTGACAGTAGCAATTTTGACCAGTTTTAGACACTTTTGACCAAAGCGATTCCTAAATGATATTAAATGAAAAAATCCAAACGATCATTTTCTCCTAGGATAAAGTGCAAATGATGCAGCCTTAAAAACTATTTTGATCTACAGGCCACAGTCTCGGCGCAGCTGCAGCGTCTCTAACCCTTTTCCAGCTAAAAGAAGAAATCCGACTCCCCGCAGATTTTCCGACACCGAAATCCTACGCGTATTTCGGCTACGGCACTCCCCGTCTGGGAAACCAGGCTTACGCGGACTACTGGAACGGTCAAGCCATGCAAATTACCCGGGTCATAAATAAGGCGGATTTTGCCGCGTACACACCCCCTTCCCTGGGTGGGTATGTCCATCATGGCAACGAATTATGGCTGTCGCCGACCGGGGAAGAAAAAGTGTGTTCCAAAACGGTTTACGAAGACCCGAATTGTGCGAATTCGATCGCTTCGATGTCGAACTTGCAAGACCATTTGCAATACTGGGATGTCGAATATTTATCTTGCGCTCGGGCAGATCCGTTGGCCACGGCGGGACAATTCGTCATTCCGGTGGTTTAATGAGAAGTATGTAATTTGCGGAGGAAATTAGATCAGCATTTTTTAAAATTCATTGGCAATCTTTGTGAAATTAGTGTGTAATGAGTGAATAAAATTTATGGAAATATGCGACATGTAGCTAACTTGTGTATTATTTAGGAGACATTTCACCATGATTCAAGAGATGCGTTGATTGCATAAATATTATGCTATCCAAATATTCTACGTATGTATGTATTTACATACATATAACGGGAGACAAAGTACAAAAATTTAGATAAACATGACGCTTTGTTTCCAACCCCTCAGTTTGAAAATTTCAGAAAATTCTGCCCCATCGATCCGTTTGAGGCTTTAAAAATTATTTTCGGCACGAAATCATTCGTTTATGAGTTGATATTGCTGCGTCCAGAGTTGCAAAGTGCTAGGAATCAGTTAGAAATTTAAAAATAAATCAAGAATACTTTTTTTTAAGACTAAATAGGTTTTGTGTCACCAGCTGTAATGGCGCCGTGCGGCAAACCTACTCTGTGGGCAATTCAATAATTATTTGGGTTGTGTAAAATTTTGTATGTTGAAATATATTATCTACTCTTTGAAAAAAATAGATATTCAAAGTTTACCGATTTTTAAGAATAAAATGATGAGTGAAGAACTGTCGGGCCGAGGTGGCAGCCCGGCCCGAACGTTTTCGTACAGCCTGGCCAAGTAATTCTGGCAGCCATGAGGTCTGACCTGAATTGATATTTTCCACAAGAGTAAAAGCAACGGCTGTAATAATGATCTGCTAAATATTACGCAAATTGTAAGCCATTATATATACATCAAAGTTGCAGGAGTGCAAAAAGGTTGCTATCTCATTCTAATAAGGTCCGTCTATTCTATTAAGGCCTCGGTAAGAATATTTTGCCAAAGGCCCGAGCGGATGGGGCGACTATATAATTTCTTTGTCTAGGTACGGTTTTGGGCTGGATGGGGGACTGGTCGTACTCGAGTGCACTTCATCCATGAGTATATGCACATAAGTGTACATGCAAAGAAGTTGGTTCCTCACTAACTGAAAGAGGCTGCTCAAATATTTACTTTAATTCTGTATCCTGCCATTTCACGAGACAAGTATTCTCCGAAAGTTCTATTTTCCTTTGTTCGTATTGGGTATAATGCTAGTTTAAATTGATGTGAATAAATTTTATAATACGCACGTCCACTTCTATTCGTTGTTCTGGAGAAAACCCAAGCTTAACGTAAAATCTTTAAAATGTAGTCGCAGTTGCTTGATTAGTAGCCGTTTGTTATTTCGTAATTTTACAAATAGTGGCCTTATTAAAATCGGACAGTGTTTCGCTTTTGCCGGCTAAAATCGTTTTTTGTTGGCCAGTGGTCAAAAGTGGTCAAAAGTGGTCGAAAATGGCCAAAATGGTAGAAAGTGGTCAAAAGTGGTCAAAAGTATTCTATTGGCTAATTGTTTGCGCGGCGGGGTTAAACAGACTCTCGGCCAGTATTATTTATTCTTTGCACAAAGAATAATCAGTTCTTACAAAGTAATTGAAATATTCTGTAATAATTACCAATCTAATAAATTCAACGTGGACAAATGTAGTAAGTAATTTATACATTTGCTCGATACTTGAATATTTTAATTGCTCATTTAATTGGTCAATTCATAACTATTCCTGTTTCAATTATTAATGATGCAATGTGTAATTTATTGCTTATTTGTATAGTTAATAACCAATTTTAAAATTTTAGATCCAATCAAACATAGATAAGTAGCCTTCAACTTGCTCTGCTAGATCCTGATGAAATCCTGAATGTCAAATCATTAATTTATCATTATTCATTGTCGCACAATGCCCCATTTTTGCATTTTGGCCACTTTTGGCCACTTTTGACCACTTTTGACCATTTGCCACCTATTCTGGTAAGTGGTCAAAAGCCACTTTTGGCCGCTTTTGACCGGCGGTCTGGCCAATCTGGTTTTTGCCAAGCGAAACACTGAAATCGGATGCTTATCTAAACAATAGCCAGGTTGCAAGTACCGACTTTGTAAATAGTCGACTTCAGCCACTATTTGAGTTTTTACGATACCTACATATTAAAATAAACACGTGTGAAATAAAGTTAGGTTCGACCATCGTTTAAAAATGGTTTAACCTAGGTCCGCCCACTAAGACTCAGAGCAAATTGAGCGAACTGAAGGTCTCAAATTCTCAAATATTATTCAAGATAGCATCATTACCCATAAATCTATTGGGACGTTGATATTAATCATTTTGTTTTACTAAAGCTATAGCAGTAAATTAACAAAAAAATGTTTAACAGAAGAAAATATCAGCTTGTTTGGGTGGTTATACTTTTCTATGCAACATATGCACTTGGAGCTCTTATAAAATTAGGGGTAGAGGAAGAACACAAATTCGAAAATATTAAAATTGCCGATTACTTTATACCGTTTCAAAATTGTACCATCATAGTCAAAATAGGAGCAAATATTTCTTCACACATCAAAACAGAAAATCCTCCCCCTATAATCCTCGAGCTGTATGGTTTTAATGGTAGAGAAATGATAGAAGCCAGATTTTCCATACAGCGAAGAAGAAACCCTTCGCCACATTGTTGGGCATCGTTCTCCATTTTTCCTGAGTATAATGGAAAGGCAAAGTTCGACGAGCCCTATTTCTTCAAGACCTTAGGATTAGGACCCGACTTTATAGATCCTTTCTTGCCACGCCAATACTTTATTTTTGTCACAACTATTAAGCCGAGGATTCAACATTTTGTTAAAAATATGGACTACATGAATTTGCAATTGTTAGGTTTAAGAGAAGTGATAATAGTCAATGTTAACCATAACGGAAACGACTTCATCGATACAGAACTTCCGAGTAGCCACTTATCGATGTATTACCACAACATATACTACATTGATAAATCAATCCGTGGAATGGAACCATCTCAGCAATGGTACCACATAGAATGTTTGCCTCACGAATGCTTCCCCCAAATTGATCTAGTTTCCAGAAATATTTCTATGCTAAACAAATACTTTTGGTATGCGATACGAATCTTTGATAACAAGATGCACCATATTCATCACTTGTTTAAAATGGTAGAACAACGAACTCTCCCCAATTTGCAATATCGTAACATCGCAAATTTGTCAACTTTCAATGGTTTCGTAGCTTTCTGGCTATTGCAGGACTTGATGAAACACGATTATCCAGATTTCGCGTCCATTCACAACTTCCCTCCAATTATGCAAATTCCCAGATATAAGTTTACTGGACTTACTTATGTTGCACACGATATACAAAAGTTTAGCTATTTGTCATGTTATCAAGTAAAATCGACAAACTCTGTCATTTTATCGGAACTAATGGCACCATTTGAAACAACAGTTTGGATGTGCGTTATGGCCAGCCTAATCGCCGTCATCCTACTTTTGACTGCTGCATTGGACAACTTCATGTCAAAGGGGATACTCCTAACTGTTGGAATATGTCTAGAAAATTCAGTATTGGAATATTTATACACTTATAAATCTATCAAATATCACGTGGGTGTTGGAACTGTCACCTCCTGGACGAACAAGACCTTCAATCCGCCAACTTGAGCGAGTATAACCGATATATGAATTTTTATCAAGAAATTCTTCTCCATTCAAGCCAAGTCGCCAGGTTGGGGCGTGGTTATCCGCGACTGGACGGATACATCAAGACAGCAAACAGTCTGGTTAACGGGATTCGACCATATTTTGGCATAGGCAGCGACGGCAAAAATTATTGGAATGGGACATTTCGATTTTATCCAAATGGAGAAATGCGATATAATCCGAGTACACTCAGCGAATTCCCGATCCAGCCCATATCATATAGAGATCATGCTATACTGATAAAAAATATGTCAACTTGCGCGAAAATTGCGCTAATTGATACGAAAGATCACATTATTGCATTAACACCCTTTCTCAACGATAATTCTGACCACATAACGTATCTGAGTGGCCATGACGATGTGTACTTTACTGTAATGCGTGGCTGGTCGTTACATCCAGTTCGGGAGAGTTATGGAGCAAAACGACTTAAAGTACTGATGTCTTCTGGAATTTTTAAATATTTGAAGACACTATATAACTTATGGCATCCGGACAGGTTGTTTCAACATTATGCTAATTTTTTTTTTTTTTTTTTTTTATTTTTAACATTGGTATTTCAACCTTCTTATTCAATTAATAATCATGAGAGTACAAAACAAATCACATAACTAAATAAAGAACTAAAACTATGATTTGTATCGAGGTATGATAAAATTATTATTATTATTATAGTTTTTTTTTTTTTTTTTTAATTATTGGTAAAATATTAATTTTGTATATTACGACAAATTTTGCCTACGAATTATGGCGGTGATTTTCTTCTTGAGAGGACAATATCATAATGCCGTCATGGGTAGGAACTAAGCATTTTTGTCCTCTCCTTCATCTTGATGACCACGTGAGAGATATCATGAATAATTGCAATTACAATATAAAAAGTAACATACAACTTAACTTTACTTTGGGTAGTCATGCACAAATAGTGAAAGTTAATGCATCAAAACCCTAAATTAATATTAATTTTACTATTTGTAATTTCGTAAATTTTAAATTTATCCCACTTATCATAAAATTTGGATATCAAACTCTTATTGAGATTACATGCATGAAATTCTGTAATTATGCGTCCATACAACATGTGGCGGTATGAAGAGATTAGGTTAAAGGAACCAGAGTAATTGTTAAGCCTATGAACAAAGCATTGATAAATAATATAGTAAGCATAAAAGATCAAAATATTGGCACCCGCATGCTTTGTGCCATGAAGAAAGGCGTCCTCGAAGTCTCGTGCGTGTATTTTTACCTTGGTCAACAGCTTGGCAACCGCTTGCTTCAAATCTGTGACATGCTCACAAACTAAATAATGTCCGACTTTTGGCCTTTCAATATTACAATATGGGCAGCAATTGTTATCATAAAAATTCAT